ACAGTGCAAGGTAGGCCGTGCAGCCTCTGCCTCAATGTACCCTCACCACCTCAGCAGGGGCTGAAAACAAACCACCACCTCTTGCTGCACCAAAAACAGTTTGTTTAGACAGAGGGGGCAATGGTCCTGTTCTACCCATCAGTGCTGATGGGATCCTACAACTTCTGAGGACTCCTTAAGAGGATTGTTGTCAAGAGGAGACAACCAGAAGGATAAACATCAGAATGCAAGTACAAGAATGCAAGTACAGAATGTAAGTACAGTGTCTGGGGCATGGGCCTCGATCAGGTTGAGGAGGATACAGAAGTTTGCAAACATTAACAGGGTTGGCATGGGCACAGGAGCTAACTCCCCTGGGGATATCAGCATGGAGAAGGCAGAGCAAAGCAAGGACCCCACGTGGAGACAGGAGGAAGAAGCTTGCACGGGCATTGTTGGGAGAAACTTTCCCAGGAGATAGTGAGTTCCCTGTCATGAGAAGCCAACAAGTACAGCAGGGTCCTGTGTGCATACTTTGGGATGACTGTCCTCTTTCTTGGGAGGAGTTTCATGATATCTAAGAGATTATGGAAGGTATTGTTGTCCTCAAAGCAGCACTACCTGCAGGGGGTCAGGCACTGTGAAAAGAAGATTGGAACTCTGCAAAGTGGGACATGAGCCCTGTCGCACAGAGTAGATCTGCGACCCAAGGCCCAGGCTGAGGCTTCTCACCCATGCCTGTCCCCAGCTTCCTTTGGGTTGGATAAGAAGATCTCCCAAGTGGACCTAGAGCCTAAAATGGAGGGACAGGGACACTTGTGAGCTAGAGAGGGACAGCTTGCACTTGATTTTCAAAACATTTACCAAGAGTCGTTGAAAGCCAGCATGATTCTGCCTGTTCTCCACCCTTCCCTCCTCCATCTACTTAACAGCCTCCTGTCCCCACCTGGGCTGGTCCTCAGAGAAAGCTTTGTAGAGAAGTCCACCAGGCAGACTGCCCCTGGCCTGGGGAGGAGGTCAGACTAGATTGTGACAATTGCCCTCTCACAAGGGAACAACAGGGGACATTGCTTCCTGTCCTCAGATGCACCCTCCTATGTCTAAATCCAAGGGAATCGGCTTAGATTCAGGTCTTCCCAGTGTCTCCTGGGCATCAACGAGGCTGTACCCTGATCAGTACCTTTGCACCATCCCTGGGCAAGGCATCAACCCCAAGTCCCCACAGGCTGAGTACTCAGATATGTACCCAGGTCTTTCTCACCCACAGTGAGCTACATCTCCAGGCAGGAGCAGACATGGATCCAGTGAGCACCTACTGTGTGCTTGTCAGCTCCACACCTCAGGGTTATTTGGGAAAGCTGCTCAGCTGCACTGTACTTCAAAGAGGCTGGCTGAAAGCTGGAGGGCACCCAGGGTGCTGTGGGACCTGACACTGGTTCATTAAAGGAGCCAGGCTGCTTAGCCTGGAGAAGCAGAGCTCCCAGGAGAGCACAGCCCACTCTTCAAAGAGAAAGAGCCCGATCAGAGCGGAAGGGCAGAGACCAAGAATCAACTCCCAGACTCATGCCAGAAGCTCATAGATCCTTGCACCCAAAGGATTTCAAGGCCAACCCCCCTGGTTGTGCATATGTATGTGAAGATGTGCATGTTTTTCTGGTTTCCATGCATCTGTGTGTACTTAGTCACACTCTCACCTATATACCCAATGCCAGCTTAAGGCAGATCACTCCAGCAAGTGCTCACATAGAAGACGCATCAGAGTGTAAAAACAAATCCGTTGGGCTGGGGATTTAGCTCAGTGGCATAAGTGCCTGCCTTGCAAGTCTGCAGTCATGAGTTCGATCCCTGGTGCCCAATAAAATGAAATAAAACACCAAAAAACAAAATAAAAAAACAAAGCAAACCACCTGTGTACACTCATCACATATCAGAGACCAGTCCTGCCTGTTAGCTGCTCTGCCCGAGAACGTGCTTGCTTGCTGGTGGGGATGTACTGCAGCCTCCGAAGGTAGAGCCTGGAGCCTGGGTAGGAGGAGGATGGGGAGGCACTCAATGTGAGAGGAGCAATGTGGGGCCAGTGAACTGCCTGTGGTGGCACAGCAAGTGGAGAGGCCAGGATGACCATTTGGGGTGGAAGTGGCCAAGGACGCGCCTATCTAGGCAAGCTGTTGAAGAAAGCCCTGCAGTTTCTATTTGGAAACCACACCACGTTCTTATTCCCAGAGCTCTGGGAGTGGTGATGTGGAAATGGTGGGCGTGAAAGGCTGTGCTCACCGGTGTCTAAGAAACTAGGACAGAAAGAGGCTGCCCCAGGCGATGCACACAGAGCCCCCTCTCCTGAAGCATTTCCTCTCCAGATCCCCTCAAAGCACTGGCCTGACTCAGACTTGTCAGCCACATGGATCAGGGCCCCATGGCCCGAGTGTTCACAGGACCCTGACAGTTCCAGGCACCAGGCTGTGACTCCTAACATTCTAGGCAGTGTTGGTTTTAAAGGGTAGAAGACTCGATGGAAGAATTCTGGTCCTTGGCTTTACTGCTGCCTCCCAAGGCTACCAGGCAGAGATGGAAACCAAGCACCTCCCTACAGGAGGGGGCAGGCTGGGAATTCGGTGGGACAGTAGTGTGGGAGGGGCCCGGTCCCTTTGTTACAGCAGCTTAGCTTGTGCCATTTCTCAGGGATCCCAAACAGACTCTGCGAAGACTCCCTGTTATCATGTCACCTTATCATTAGCTGAATTGGTTCATGAATGTTCTAGTTTATTGTCTGTCCCACATTCCCAGCTCTCTATTGATGCAAGCTTTATAAAGGAAAGGTTTTTTTTTTTTTTTCTCATTTGTTCAATGTAATATTCTTAGAACCCAGAAAAGTACTGCTGTACAGTGAGTGCACACATGTTTGTGGCTGCATAGGGGACAGGGACAGTGTACAGCAGTGGAGACGGGTCATGGCAGGGGTGGGGGATGGGCTTGAGACTTATCTGCAGGGCTACCTGGCCCCGGCATCAAGTCTCAACATTCTTCTGCCATCCTTTAAGGAGAAGTTGCTATAAGAGCACAGACACTTGCAGAGAGCCAAGTCCAAGCCTGGGCAAGATGACCTTGATCTCACATTGGGTTCCATGGTCACTGGCCCCTCCTCCAACGCCAATATACATGGCATAAATGGGTTTGCTCTGGGGCTGCAAGAACCTTCTGGGAGTTTACTCACGCTAGCGCTTCAACTCAGGCCCCTAGATTCATCTTCAGCATTCTTGGATACAAGTGAGTCTGTTATTGGCCGATTCTTAGATCAAGAAGCAGTTAAGGTACAAAGAGATTTAGCTTTCGTGTGCACCAGTGTGGGTATGAAACTGCCTGTTAGTTTACATACATATGTGAACATGTGTATGTGCATCCTGCAGAGTTGCATGGATATTTGTGCCTACAACCGTATCTGCATAGATATTCAAATGTGACTGCATGTATATGGCTGCAACCTGTGTGTACGAATTCTTGGCGGCTGGATCTGAATTTCTGCTAGTACTATTTTCCTGGTACACACCCAATCTTGATCTCTTTTCTTTTCCTTTCTTCTTGGAAATCCATTAGTAAAAGGCTTTTTTTATCCACCTCCAGGGGGAGGGGGACTGAGGGAAGGGGAAGCTAAAATCACAAGACCCAGATCAAAACACTCAGCAGCTAAATGAATTCGGCAGCATTTTCCTGCATGACTTGGAGGGATAATTTAGTGAGGCCGCCAGCTGGAAGGAAAGGGATTAATTCTGCACTTAGCACAGCTCCAGTGAATAATTCATCACCGGAGACCTTTGTGCCAGGCTCTGGGCTATTGGGCCAGTGTCCTGCCCAGCTGCCTGTTGCCTGCCTGCACCCTAGTTCCCTGAACAGGGTGCACAATGCTCCCTTCAGTCTCAGGATGCTTGTGCCCAGGACAAGGGCAAGTAAGGGGATGGCAGTGGGCACTGGCAGATTCTAGACCCCGAGAAAGGCCCTGCAGGGCTCGGCTTCTACCTGGGAAGTTTGTGGCATTTTCCTCCAAGGGCCCCATTGTCCTCTTTCCTGGGGTCTTTGGTTTTTCTGTGACCTCCCCTTTTAGTGCCTTCTTGTGGCTGTGCCTAGTTTGGTGGTGGGGTGGCTCTAATGAGCTCTCTTCTACCAGGTGCCTGAGGAGAGCACAATGCTAAAAACCCACAGGAGGACAAGGCCTTGTTAGGGATGCTGCAGGCTGGTGCCTTGCAGAGGGAGCCCTCATCCCTGTGATGTAGCACCCCATGTCCTTCATGGGTAAGGTCCCCAGTCCTGGGACCTGTAGCACAGTGAACTGTCATGTGTGGGACTATATCATGTCATGTGATGCCACCAACCTTAAGGAGATTATCCAGTAAGCCTGACCTCATCTCAGTGGCTTTTTAAAAAGCAGCCTTTTCCCTGGTTGCTGGTGGAAGTAGTAGTCAGGACTTTCAAGCCAGTGTGGACTGGACGTGCCTGCTAGCATGAGATGCAGGGCTGCGGTGAGAAGGATCGTGTGTGGTGTTGGGGAGCCGCTGCCAGCCCGGGATCTCGGGTATGGGTCCTGCACCCAGATCCTGCCCAAATGAGCTTGGAATCAGCCTCTTCCCTTAGTGCCTCCAGGAAGGAAGGGACCTTGCTGGTCTGTGGTGCCCAGCTACCTTCCTGTCACAGAATTGTCAGCGAGTATTGCAGGTGGGACTAGAAGCTAAATTTGTCCTAGTTTATCCTTGCAGGATGCAGGCACCATGGAAACCAGCCCAGTTAGGGCTGGATCAGGGACAGACCCCCAGATCTAAGTGGTCCTCTGTTCTCAGCTCTGTATAACCCCAGCTTTTGCTCTGGCTTTCTGGTGCCTCCAGTCACCTGCAGACATGTCTGTCCAAAGCAGCTGTCATAAATCCCAGGCTCCAGTCTCCAAGACAGCTAGCAGCTACAAAAGTGGCTACAACTCACTGGAGGGTCACAGAGCTGGCATGTGTCAGCTGTGACCTTCCAGCCTACAGCCTTACCTTAGAGGAAAGCAGCTGGAGGGAGAGGTCCACCGTGGGTGCCTCGCCATTGATGGTTTTCGAGGTGGTGTCCTGGGGGGAAGTGGAAGCAGTCAGACTGAGCTGGACAGGGCAGATCCCAAACTTTGCTCCTCGCATGATTCTGGGGCCCCAAGACCAGTGCCCAGTAGGGTGGAGGGAGTTGGGAGCTGGCCTCCACCTCTGTTGCTCTCCTGGCTTCCCTGATACTGCCCTTGTTTGCTCTCCTGGAACCTTGTTTGGAAGCTCTGAGTTCATCTCCTGGAATTTATTTATTGAGATCTGTTATGTCCAGAGACCAGGAATAGATTAGGGAAAAGAAATAGGAGTAGAGAACAGTAACAAGAATAATATTCACTGTTACCAAGGACTTACTCAAAAGACTTTCTATACATGTTTTTTCTAACAATCTCATGGAACCGTATGAGAAAAGTTCTGTTACCATGAGCCCATTTTATAGACTTGGAAACCGAGGCTATGAGACCTTAATCTTCCTACAGTCATGAGTGCTGGTAGGTGAGAACCAAAATGTGGGGCCAGAGGTCTGGCCCTAGAGCCTGAGCTCCTGACTCTTGTCATGCACAATGGCTACGTCTGGGCATGCTGTTTCCATCTTACAGATGAGGACTCTTGTCGATGTCCACTCCCGGCCGGCAGGAAGGACACACGACAAAGTCTGGTAGTGGACAACCTTTTCTTTTTATTTTCCTTCTCCGTACAGCCTGCCCTGGGTTCTCCCAGCTGAAGCCTCCTCTGGTCCGCTCCCCGCGGCTCCTTTTGTGCTTCAGTCTGCCCCAAAGCCTCTACCGGTCCGCTCTCCGCGGCTCCTTTTGGGCTTTTTACTTCTGGGCTTCTACCTGGCTTCTTCTTCCGCCCAGGGGTGGCACCGGTATATATACGGGTACAGTGTCCAATCATGTTAAAGTAAGCAAGGCAAGCTGATTGGCTAACATCATCAGTTGCCAGGCAGACTATATTGTTGAGCGGGTTGTTTACGCGGTAAGCAGGAAACTAACATATTCGATGGGAGGGGTAATCTACCTCAGGCTTTGCTCTTTACCACAGGCCGCACGTCCGCCGCGCAAGGCGAGCTATCACAGACGCGGCTCCCAACAGACTCTGAGGTTCAGAAAGGTTAAGTCATGCACCACTGAGAGTACTAGGAAGGCCTGAATTTGAACTCAGATCTTGTGCAAGGCCTGAGCTCTGCCCACTATTTGAGGGCCTTCCTGGGCTGTTTCTCTGGCTCTGTTCTTCATCCTCAGAGGCAAGACTGGCTCTGGTGTTGGGGGTCCCTCATGCCCGCAGGGGTGTGATCACCCAGCAGGTGCCCTGGTCTGAGCTGTTGAGGGAGCCACATTCCTCTTGGAGTTGTGTCAAGATGGAACAGGTTTGGGGGGTAGAGTGGTGACACTAGGGGTCTGATGGGACTCACGGTGATGGGAAGCCGCTCGATGCGTAGCCCATTTAACTTTTTCCCTTTGAGCATCTTCTGATAGAGTTGGTTCTTCAGGGGCAACACGGAGATGCCCAGGGGCTGGCTGAGGGTCCATGGTGCGCTGCCTTGTATTGAAAGGAAGGACCAGCTGGGCTCGGCTCAGCACTGTGCTGCAGTCTTCAGGTGCTAGACTCAGGTCCCACTGGGGTCCAGTTTTCCACTGCCCCCCTCCCCTGCCCGGCTGCCTGCCTCCTGGCTCACACGTGGGCACCCATCCTCCTCCTCCATCCTCAGGGCTTCATGAATCTATCCAGAAGGTGTGGTCACCTTCGTCTCTGTCCTTTGGGGAATTCAGTTTCGGAGTGTGCAAGTGAGGCTTGACTGGGGGTCTCTGAATCCCTTCTCCTCACCCCTTCTTTGTGCTCTGCGAACTCAAAGCTCAGAGGCTCCTCCCTTCTGCTCCTCCCTGATGGCTGCTATAAAAGCATGTGACACAGAATGGGAGCAGGTGTGCTGGCGGTGCCCTGCAGCTTCCCCATGGACCAGAGGCCAGGCGGACCCTCCTGTCTTTACCTGCCCACCCTGACAGAGGGGACTGCTTTTGCACTTGGGAGTCTTGAACCTAAGCCTGAGGAGGCAGAAGCAGGAAGGTGCAGACACCCTTTCCCAGACACTTCCTGATGAGTTGTGGCCCATCGTGGCAGCAGAGGGCACTCACCCGAAGTGGAGGGGTAGTATTCCAGCACCAGGGGTGTGTCCTCTGAGAAGTCAGTGGCGCCATCCTCGCCTTGGAAAAGGAAAGACTGGTTCCACACTGGCAGCTCTGGGGACCCCCCAGGCTTGGAGAGCTGGAAAGAGAGTTGGCAGCAGGTGTGAGGCCACGGCTCCTCCCAACCCCAGGCATCTGTCTATGCATGGAGCCTTGTCCTCATTGTAAAAGTGACACACACTGAATTCCTTTTAGAAAACTCACAAAAGTCAAAAGGAAACCCAAACCCTTATAATCCTATTCCAACAAAACTCATTTGCTCATTCACAAAACTGAGCATCTCTGGATTTTTCTGTGCACATTTTATATACAGTTGTCATTCTAATAGTCTGTCTTTTTCATTTACCACCAAAACCTAAGCATATCCAGGATCACAAAAAACTCCTGTTGCCCACAGCTTTAGTAACTTCAAGATTTCCTGTCAGGTCCCAGTGTCCTGGTTTCTTTCTCCCTCATTTTTCCTATGATAATACTGCACTTCACACCGTATGCTGTATACCTTTGTGTCTCAAAGGCCTAAACAACAATTGGGTTAAAGGACATGATATGCATTTTTTCCTAAATGTAGGCCAATATTCTCAGATGGGGGTACAATTAATATGACATCAGACCTGAACTCTGGCCCCATCACAGCCCCTCTCGGTGCCACATAGGTTCCCAGGCTCTTGGAGAAGGCCACGATAGGTTTGCAGATGCCAGAATCTTGGTGCATCTGGGGCAGCATTGGGCACCCTGGGAACTTGGTGGCAAACTGAACCAACACCTGAGCACACATATTGGGATGACAAAGACAATGCAGTGACAACATTCATACAGAGGCTACAGGAGATGTTTCTATGAATGGTCAGAAAAGCTGCCTTAGGCTGGGGATATGGCTCAGTGACACAGTGCCTGCCTGGCAAGCGTGAAGTCAGGAGTTTGATTCCTGGTAACAACAACAACAAGCTGCCTTAGAGGAAGCAGGGTCAGAGTCTCTGAAGAAAGTTCCAGCAGGATGAAGGCAGGGAGAAAGTTCTGGGTGGGAAAATGGCACAAATGACAAAAGGTAGAGTTGGCACCAAGCATGGCATGTGTGGAAGGTGCCTGGAATGAGGGGCATCCCTGAGGAGACCCAGCATCAGCAGAGCCTAGGAGGTGGGGAGAGAGCTGAGTGTCAGCTCACAGAGGCAGCCCTGCGTGGTCCCAGCACAGACTCTTCTTGCGGCTGGCTCACCCGTGCACCCCGGCAGGGGCTCTCAAAAACAGGGCCAGCTGCTCCCACCTCCCACCACGCTGCAGGAGTCAGTAGTTGCTAGTAAAGGTCAGCACAAATGCGCCGTGGGCTCCAGGAGTTATTGATGCAAGATGGAGGAGCATCAGTAGAGAGCCACTCCCCCGTGGTGGCAGCGCCCTGATGCCTGTCACGCTAATGTGCCTGCTGCGGGCCTCTGAGGCTCAGCTGTGTCTGCCCCATCCCCAGGGAGACAGGTTGCAGTCAGTGCAGGGCCAGGGGTTCCTGAACACTGGGGATGGTGTCCCCAAGATACTGTGGGCTCTGTGGAGCTTGGGAGTGGTCTTTCAGGACTGGTCCCCAGATCATGACCCCTGTATACCAGAACAGTTTCTACGTATGGACCAGGCCAGCTGCCCGGGCACAGGGGGACTGGGAGGGACCTGTGACTCAGTTCCCTGCTGCCCTGTTGCTCGCCGCCACCTGAAGAGGGTATTAATGGATGCAAGCTGTCTGCTCTGGGAGCTATTAAAGTGTCTAAGTGGGGCCTGGAGAGCAAGAGGTGGTAAGTGGCTGCCTGTCCAGTAAGAGTCCCTTCCCTGAGTGGCTTTCCAGGATAAGCCCCCCAGGAAAGACCCTCTCAGACCTGTATTTGGGCAGGGAGTGTCATGCCCTCCCCACCCCCAAACAGGACTCAAGGTCGAATAACTGTGGAGTCAGATGCCAGGCTCTGCTGAAGGTGCTGGGGCTGAGGTGTGTGTGGCTGGGGGTGGGGTGAGGGTAGACATTGCTGCAGATGCTAATGGGAAAGGCCAGGGCAGGCTGCGGAATTAAGGGATGTGATTAACCCTCAGCTGTGATTGTCAGAAAAGCCATTAACCCCCCTGGCCACTGAAACAGCCCTGCCTTCCCTGGGGACAGAGCCTTCATTCCGTGGGTACATGACCCCTCCTCCTGTGCTGCTGGGCCGCCCACACTCACAGCCACCCAGCCTGCTACGCTCAAGGGCAGCAGGGGTATCAGAGAAGAGGAGCCGCTGGCAGTGGGTGCTTCAGAGCCCGGACCTTTTGGTTCTGGGCCTGGTTCTGCCTCAGCCTGGCTGTGTGACCACTCTTTTCCTCCCAGGGACATGGATTTCTCACTGTCCAATGGGAAAACAAGTTGTATGGCACACCTGGAGCCCCTGCTGTGAGGCTGAAAGTCGTGATAGAGAATTTTGCTATTCAGGTAGAAATTCAATTCCACCAATGCTGGCCCAAGGCTTCTCTATGACAGACATCTGTGGGGCGTTGCAGGGCATGTGGGGAGTTAGCGCCAGACCCTGTCCCCACCAGAGCTTACCATCTTCATGGGGATAGGGCTTACACACACTAACACACACATGCACACACACACTGTCCTAGAATCCATATACAGGCAAGCATGTTGTAGCTGTGGCAGCTGGGATGTCTGAGAAGAAAGCTCCACTCTGAGCTGGGGCAAGGAGAGTCTGAGGGCTGAGGCCATAGCGAGGAGGAGCCCGGCCATTCTGGGTTGAGGGGACAGCAGGGAAAAGGCTGCAAGTGAGAGAGGACATGAAGGTGTGAACAGCAAGACCTCTAGTCAGGCTGGGGAATGTCTGTGAGACCTGGAGCAGGGGCTGGGAGACTGGTGGGGACTTGGATCTGGGCAGAGCATGGGCTACCTGCTTCTCCGGAGTCCAGGGGGACAGAAGGAGCCCCATCAGAGCTTGGGGACAAATGGCTGTGGGCTAAGATGAGAGATGGCAAGATGGTGGTGGTGGTGGACACAGCAAGCTCCTTAGGAGCTTGGGTCCAGCCCTACCACATACCTTAACTCTTTAGTGCCCAGTCATCAGTGACTGGCTCAGGGATGACCCAGTTCTGGCCAATGAGATGAGAGGGGAGGTCTACTGGGGGATCATTGGGTAGGTTGGTTTCCTTTCTCCTGAAAATCTCACTTAGGAAGAGGCCCTCATGTCTACCAGTCTTTGGTCATATCTGCATTTTGCCTCCATGAGCTGTTGGCCAGTATTGGTGGCACTTTTGAGGGTGTTAGAAAGATCCTGTGACTCCAAGGACAGCCGATCCTGGCAGCATCCTATGTTGAGAATAATTGTCATGTGTGGCCATCACTATCCTTCGTGTTTAGATCCACCCGAATTGGGGTTTCTGTTCCCTGGAGCCAGATGTAACAAGGACAGTAGTGACACTGGCTGCAGGGAGTATGTGGCACTAGGGGAGATGTGGCTCTGAAGGGGACAGAATCCAGCTAACTTGGCCTAGGGTTTGTGCTCTGTGTATACTTTACATTCTTTGTACAGACCCATAAGCCTGATTCAGTAGGTCTAGAAGACTCGAGCAGCTTGCAAAGCCCACAGGGCTGGTCAGTCACAGAGCTGGGGTCAAACCCAGGTCTGCTGGACAGTCTAGCTCCTGACTATCTGCTTTGGTAGGGTGGCAGCTGGTGGAAAGTCACAGCATCCCAAGGTGGCAGAGAGGACAGGCCCTAGGAATTTCTTAGCCCAGCTGTAGAGATGAGGGGGCTGACTCTCAGAGTGGTCAGGGCAAGGGGACGTGTGAGCTCCAAGGCCAGGGCTGCTGATAGGTGGCCTCTAGGTAGGTCTCTGCCCACCCCCCACTTTCTGTCCCTGTTCTGTCTCTCCTGGCACCTGAGCATCTGTGTGCAGGCTGCCAGTGAGTTCTCAAACTGACTCAGCTTCATAGATGCTAGGTGACCCTCAACAAGTGTCCTGGCACCACTGGGCCCCTGGCATTGGGGGAAGTCTCTGTGGTGAGGGGCACTTGCCCCATTTGGGTCAGTTAGGCAGCAAAGGTGAGGGGGCTAGGAGGAGGCCCCCTCATTAAAGGAGGCAGAGCCTCTTGCCTCTGGGACAGCCTGCTGATCCATTCATAATTTTCTGGGCAAATGCAGGGGCATGTGTGGGATGACTCTGGGGAAATCAGGCCAAGGATTGGTTTGGGTTGAAGCGTCTGTCCCCAGGGTCCCCCTTTGTCCAGCCCCTCCCTGTCACCATCACTCTTGCCTCTGTCTGAGTCTTCTTCAAACATCTTTGTCTTTAAATGAAAGTTGGACTCCAAAGGGGCAGCTCGTTCTAATTTTCCAGAGTCAGGCACAAGTGCTGGTGGGGAAACAGCAGGGGTGACTTCCCAGAAACCCCTTGTCCTCAGAGGCCCTAGAAATGTGGGAGCACCACATAGGGGAAGATCCCCCTGAAGTGTCGTTATGGGAAGAGCTAGATCGGTCTGGACCGAGCCATCTGACATCTTCAAACACTGCCTGTCTTGGGCACTGCCCCACACCATGGCTGGGTATCTGCAGCTGGCTCCATTCCCTTGCTGTCCTTGACTGCCCTCACTAGCCCTCCCCCTACCAAAGAGTCGGGAGTGCTCTTTCCAACCAGCCACGCTTCCTGTCCTCTGACTCACTTAGACATTTTTATTGTGAAAATGTGCATACTACGACATTTACCATCTTAGCCGTTTTAAGTGCCCAGTTCAGCAGTATTAATACACTCTTACTGTGCAACCACCAAAACCATTTCTAGAACTTTCTCACCACCCCATACAGACACTCTGGATTCATTACACAGTAATGCCCATCCTCCCTCCAGCCCCCAGAAACAATAATCTATTTTCTGTCTCAATGAATAAACTGATTCTGTGTCCCCCTGACTGTGGAGTCAGGCAGTATTTGTCCTCTGCTATCTCCTCTCCTCTGGCTTTTGCAGCTCTGAAGTCCCTGCCGATTATTAGGTTAGATGTGACCTGGGGTGATAGTCGACCTCCCGCATGTGAGGGTCCTGTCTTTGGGAGGCAAGGCCAAACCCAGCCCTGGGTATGCAGCAGGGTGGAATGAGTTCTTCTTCAAGTCACATGAACCTCTGGCTCTCAGGTGGATGGTGAGGGTTAGGTGGGAACTCACCCAGGGGAAGATGGGTGAGTTACTAGACCTGTGTGTGAGTGAGTTGGTGACAAGGTGACTGGTAAAGGGCCTTACCTGTGGACACCCATCCTGGCTGGCCTGGGGCACACTGAAGTTCAGCACCGATGAGACAGGCAAGGACCGGGGTGTGAAGGGCAGCCTTTTCGAGGCCGGGTCCCCACTGGCCTGGGTGGCCCTGGAGAGGCAAGGAGACAGGGAGGGCTAGGTATTCTCCATCCTGTGCCCAGCTGGCACCTGGGCTTCCCTTAGGGACTCTGGATTAGTGTGAGGGATGGAAGATGGCACTGGCCACCTGGTTCAGGCTGGACCTTGCACAGTGGCTGGGCCTGGTCCTGTGGTTGCTGACCAAGTCTCAGGTAGATCCTCCAGGTTGGGAGATGGGCTGCAGCTCCCAGGTTTCCTGGTCTGGGACTTGCTGTGGCTTTAGCCATGTCTGAACAGGTCAGCTTCCTCACTTTTAAAATGGTTCTCAGCTTTGAGAGGCTCTGTCCATGCAACTTCCCTGCCCTACCTTGTGAGAATCCTGGCTGAGGATGAGGGGGCGTGGACAGCCTTACACATGTATGTGCATGTGTCCACATATATGCCAGGCTTACTGGGTTGGGTATCAGGGCACCCATCCTCTTCACTCTTCCAACAGTAAAGGGGGTCCCATAGGTCATTAAAACCTCTCAGGATGCAGGTAAGTCAGGGAGTCCTCTTGGGCCAACAGGGGAAGTGATGAGGGAGGACATCAGGGTGCTTCCTCAGGTCACCTGTTCACGGGGGGGGGGGGGACTTCCCACTGTGGCCTGTGGTGGCCAGCTTAACAGGAATCCCCTTCTGAGGACAGTGATCCAATTAACTCCAAAGGAGGTCAGGGGATGGGGGTGGGGACAAACTGGGGCCAGAAAGACCTCTAGGAAGGGGAGGACTTTTGCATGGAATTCCAAGATGACCTCAGGTTGCCTCCTCTGGAGACAGTCATCAACTGATGTCCATAGCCCTAAACTAAAGCAGTGGAAAAGACAGTGGAGGTGATGGTTGTGAGATGTGAGGCAGGTTTGGAGGAGCAGTGGCAGGGAGGGGTCCCCCACACAGTTCCTCACCCAGCTCTACAGGCCTGTGTGGCTCCATCCCCTCCCCACCTGCCCAGAAATCACCCCAGCTGCCCCTCTCCAGGGCCCTGAGGTCACAGAAAAAGAAATGCCTGGTCTGCTGTGAGAAGCTTGTAGGGCCTCAGATGGGAGATGGGAAATGTTGAAAGATCTTGGGGGCAGAGCAGGCTTCCAGGGCATCTGGAACCAGTCCTCTGTCTTCTGTCCCCTCCCTTCTGGCCCATATCCACTTACTTAAACTCCCTGAGGCTGGGAACCACCCGGGCAATCACCACCATGGGGTTGGAGTTGTTGACCAGGGGCTCATTGATTCCCCTGAGAAAGACCTAGAGAAGACAAGAGGCAAGCGAGGTCCATGTGGACCTGGTCCTGCAGACACAGACAGCCCACCCGCCATCTTTCTTTTCCAGTGAGACCGTCCCTGCCTCCAACCTCCAAACTGTTCTTCCTTGCCCTGGATGGACCTGGTTCATGTTCTATTCTCTCTTCCTGGGGCCTGTGGCCCTGAGTGCCTTGGAGCACAGCTGGAGTTCAATAGGGGGTACTCAAATACCAGCTGTCTCTGGGAACAAGGTCTAAGGTGAGAGACGGCCTAGGGGTGAGGGGTCAGGAATGTGGGGTCCTGGGGCAGGATGAGATTGGATGAGGCACTCTGCTTCCTCTGTATTGCTGTCCATCAGAGAGGGTGTAAAGCCTGGTTCTGGGTCCTCCTGGGTCTCCAATTAGATTTTTTTCGTGAGAGGATGCTTTATAAACTGAGGATGTCAAGCCCAGGTCTGGTCTCTCCAATCATATTGGGCTTCCTGAGATCAGAGGTCACAGTCTGCATCCTCCCAACCCCCACTCCAGTGCCTGCCCACCCCAGGTTTCTCTGGCAAGGATCAATTTGGAAGAGAATCCTTAGCACTATCATCTCCAGGCTCCTCTGTCACCTCCTAGGCCTTCCTGCATCCCAGGCCTGACTGCCATCTCCTCTCAGGGCTCCCAGTGGCAGGCAGTAAAGAGGTCACGTGGCCAGGGAATGGTGGTGGCTGAAAGCATTGACTCAACACTCACTGTCACCAGCCTAGCTGGGCCAGAGGAAGAGGACAGGGGTTCTGGCCTTGCATTTCTCCCCTGCCACCCCAGAAGCTCCTGACCCAGCCCCTAGCCCTCACCCCTCACCTCTTCACCTTCATTTGGGCAGCTCTTAGCATGTTAAAGAGAGAAGTGTGGACCCCCAGGTTTGGGGAGAGGGGACAGCAAAGATCTCAGGGAGACCGGGGTTGAACTGGTCTTGGGGATGGGGGTGCTAAGGGAGAAGAGCATAAAGGGAAGGGACTCTGGGTACAATGAGGAACCACACCTAGGGAGAAACGGGAGGCAGAAAAAAAAAAAAAAAAAGAAAAAAAGAAAAACCCTAGAAATAATACATTAAAAAACCAGAAAACCGAGGGCAGGAAGAGGCCTCAGCAGGTCCCTGCAGCTGGTCGCCTGGTATGTACTTGCTCCATTCTGGACCTCACGTTCCCAGTGTGTACCCTGAGGGTTTGGGCTAGGCCCCGGAGTCCCTCTAGCTGCATGAAAGGAGAGGGCCCAGGAAGGGGCTCCTTCTGGATCTGCTTCCCGTCTTCCTTCCCCTCAGCATTGTCCCCTGGGCCATGATGCCATTTGGCTGGTGTGAGCTGATCTGTGTGTGAGTCCCCAGAGCCTCCCAGTGGGTCTGTGATGGTGGCATCATTGGAGGGCTGTCAAGCCTCTTTGCTGACAAGGACTCCAGTAGGTGTAAGGTGGGGGTGGGGGTTGCTAGAAGATATGGGAGCCATGTCATGCCTGTTCTGTGCTGACTTGGTCAGGACCAGACAGTTGCCTGAGCACATCTGCTCACCAGGGGTAAGAGACAAGCAAGCTCTCTCTCTCTACATGCGGTTCAAGTACAGTGCTTGTCCCTCCAGGGTCACAGTGCTTGGAAGAGAAGGGGTCAGATCAGCCACACTGGATAGGGCACCTGAGTCTGACTCCTGTGGGTCATCTCAAGGCCATGCTGGGTGTGACCCGTCATCTACAGGCAGTGTGAAGGCTGCAGAGAAGGGAAGAGGGGCCAGGCCCCTACACCATGTCTGCCTTGAGCGTCAACTGTTCCTCCCTCTCAAGGGCACCTGAAGGCCTGGGATGAAAGATGATAGGTCTGGGATGGAGGCTGAGCCCGAGTTAGACCCAGGCCTCACCTAGCTAATGGAAGAGGTTGTATGTTGATTGATTGAATGAATGAATGAGTTCTTGAGTAGCTAGTGCACAGGCTAGACAAACCTCAGGAAGAGTCAGGGATGCCCTGAGTTTTTGCATGGGTGACTTGGGTCAGGGGTCTCTATGCCAGGAGAAAGGATTGAAATCAGTCAGTGGCTGTGGCCCCAGGTGGGGTGTTCAAGGTTCTCTCTACTTCTGTGACATGCAGAGAGTCTCAAGGTTGTGGGAGGCTTTGGTCCTGGCCCTCCGCACAGCACAGGGTGTGTGTCTGTGGCTGAGGGCATCGGGGGCATCTGACCTATCCCACATCACAGTATCCTCATCAACTGCGCTGGCTATTTTGGAAAATGCTGGCTTCTTTGCTTATCTTGATTTCTTCGCTGGATGCCCCTGTGCTGAACTCTCAGGCCAGCCAGACTTGGCTGCAAACAGGAATCTTCCCAACCCATGGGCCACCCCAGAGGCCCAACCCTCATACCTCCAAAGCCGCGTGGTCACAGCCCATGTAGCGGGGGATGAAGCTGCCTTTCCGAACGATGGTTGCATACGGCTGGGTCTTGGCAGTGGCTTTGTCATGGACCTCAGACTAGACGGGATAGGGACACAGCAGAGAAAGAAGACACACAAGAAGGAGCATGTCTGAGGGGGCAGAGCTTGGCCATAAATCCAGCCTTTTGCAGCCATCACTTGGCATTACTCCACCGGGGCTCTGAATGATAATTAAAGCTCATGGTCCCCACGAGCCCTTCCAAGGAGATCAATATAATAAATCTCCCTTTTCCATCTGAATATTTCATCACCCTTGCAGGGCCACCCAGGCCTGCTGTCTGGGCAAAGAGGTGATAACAAGGCTGGGTTGTAAAGGGACAGAGAGGCGGGGCCTGGCAGACGCTCCTGGAACTGCAGCTCCAGGCTTGAGTGTCCAGGCATCATGCATCTCCAGGATTTTGTTTCCTGCCTGTCCCCGGTGTTTCCTCCTAGAGACTTTGGATCCCTTTGGGACCTAGGGGGAGGTGGAGACCCCTGGGGCCATGGTCAGAGAGTTGCTTGGTAGGCAGGTCAGTACTGGGGCCTGGAGGAGAGGTTGAGGAGGGAATGATGGGAACCAAGCAGCTTCCATAAGTCACTTAGAACTTTGGACTGCTCTGCAGAGCCCTCCAGATGACCCTGCCAGGAGGGCCATGTGGCACCTTCGCTGGTGAGAGATGGGGGTCTGGTGTTAAAGTGGCATTCTGTGAACATCCAGCTGGTGAGTGGCAGGCACGGGACAGGAACCCAGAGAATCTGCCCTTATTTGTTTTACTGCAGACCACTCTGCAGTGCATGGGAACAGGAGGGGACAGTGCCACTGCTGCTTATCTGTGGTCCAGTGTGTGGCACACTGTAGGGGCTTAATTAGCACTTGAGCAATGACAGATTGAGTCCTCTTCTTCACCAATCAGTGCTGGGCAGGGAGCAGAACTAACCTGGGTCAAAGACCTAGAAGCTTCCTGCTCTAGCTGGAGCTGTCCCCAAAGACTGCATCCCAGGGAAAGCTTAACCCCCCGGCTTCTTTCTGCAGCATGGCAGGGGGAGGTGGCACAGAAAGAGCTGGCTTGGGAGCCAGCATGACATGGGCTCACCTTCGCTGTCACTCAGAGGACTCCTGTCAAAGAGTTGCATTCCCACAGGGCAATGCATATAGCTCAGGCCTGGAACACAGTAGGAACTTTGCAAATACTCTTTAATTGGTGTATTCACTCAATATAGTAGTTGTTTCCATAAAGCAGATTGGGTTGCTTTATGGAGATGAATGTGGAGAATTCCAAATTCTTTTTGTTTTTTTGTTTTTTGTTTTTTTTTTTTTTTTTTTTTTTTTTTGAGACAAGGAGTTCAGGCTGGTCTTCAATACAATATGTATACCAGACTTATCTTGAACTCACTGTGATTCTCCTGCCTTACCCTCCTGAGAGCTGGAATTACAGGTATGCACCACCATACTACATACAGAGAATTCCAAATTCTTGGGGACATCATTGCTTTCAGAGGCTATGAGTCCTATGTAGTCCCAGACTTGTCCCACTATAGGGTGGACATGGGATGCCAATCTTGCTCTTGGGGAATTTTTGGGCGTATCAGAGTGTTCCTTACCAATTCTTCCAGGGCCTTGACTCACCTTCCTCAGCTCAAAATGGTAGGGGTGAAAGACACGCAAATACTTGACAGGAATCTCATAAGATAAGAGCTCCTCTTTGTTTTTGTTGTCCACCACCTTGAGGACCACATCTGGAGAGAGGAAAGGAGCACAGGGTCAGGAAAGGACCAGACATCTTCTCTCCCCCTCAGCAATCTGAGTACAGAGAGCACTAACGTTCTTCCTCTCTCGCTTCCCCACAGTCACCCTGAACTCACAGGGAGGGAAAGATACTTGCCAAGAGAAGACTATGGGGTCCATGCTTAAAGCGAAGAGGGGAAGAGGCACCAAAAAGCCTTAAGATTGATTTTAAGAAAGTAAACTGAGGCTAGGGACTTGAATTCAGTAGACCTGGCCTCTCCGACCAAATCTAATGTGCTCTTAATTCTCTCAGCCTCAATACCTGCTCTGCAAAATGTTAACACTTTAAGCAAACAAACCAAACAAGTTGTCTCCCTCCTAGGATTGTTGAGGGAGGAGAATGTGTATTTCAAGCTACAAAATTCTGTGTAATCCTCCTATGTCCATCACCATTTCTCTCTTTGTTAGTAATCCGCAACTCTTCATACGCTTACCCAGCCCTAAGCAGACATGAGAAAACCAGTTGGGGTTCAGTGGCCCCAGCCAAGGCTCCAGTAGCTGGGAGGCTACACCATGGACCTGGGCTGAATCCAATTCGAATTTGCTGAGGCCAAACAGGAGGGCACTGCCCTGGGTCCCTTGGTCCCCAGCAGTGAGCTGTGACAGGGGGACGATGGCTACCCCTCCTGCTCCTGTCTGCATGCTGTACACACGCTTCATCAGCTCCCTGTCTGGGCATTGTGCCCTTCCGGCCCCCTGCTGCTTCCTTTGCGCGGCCAACAAGCTATTACTGCTGCCACCTGCTTTGGCCCTGACCCAGGGCCTGCAGCACCCCTTTCCTTTTCATTAACACATCCTCATGCTACCTCCCACCCTCCCCACCTCTTGGCTTGGTCCCCACTTCCCCACCCCCTCCACAAGCATCACCACAGCAACTGGTTCCCACCAGGTTTCAACAAGCTACTCGGATCTGCAGAGGTGTCTGCCAATATCCCCTGCCCACCCACGTGGCCTCCCAATGCTTCCATCCCTCCCATGGTTGTCCTGTCCTCTCTGGGCTGCACAGTTGGGCCCCCAGAGCTACTGGCTTCACCTATCATTTTCCCCTCACCTTGGATGTCTATAGCCCAGGTCAGGGCTCAGCTCAGGTCTGTGCTCCCCAGCCCCTAACTTCCTGCACACACACATATAGACACACTTATGCAATGCCACACGTACACCATCATACAGATACCAGTACATCCATGCACACACGGAAAACTACAGCCAGACACACTTAGGCACACATGCAAGACACACAGACATGTGTGTCTATAGGCACAGAGAAAGCATGCATTCATGCACATGGTAATGTTCACATGAACATGAGCCAGCATGCAGGCATTTACACACACACACACAAACACACATACACAGTCAGAACTCTCCGTGAAATCCTAGACCAATCTGTCTGCTTTTGTATCTTCTCAAACCATCTCCACAGCTCCACTTATCCCTTTTTACATCCAGGAAAACCAATTCTCTGCCTTGACCCAGAAATGGACTCTTCCCCCTTATGCAGCTCCCTTGGTCCCTCACCCTCCCCGTCTCTGGCAGCTGGTTTGCTCTTTGTGAAGAGAACAAGGAGTCCTGGTCCTACAAGATTCTAAAGAGAGAGGAGAAGCCTGTCCTTTCTGTGAGGACACTTGCAAGACAGCCAAGAGGGTTCTCATCAGATGAGGCCAGGGACCTGCCTGACACCTCTGGTTTGGGCTGCCAGTGGCAGACACAATGCTCTCCAGCAGCCCTGGCATCAGCCAGACAGTCCTCCTAGGTGCCAGCCCCAGCTCTCCCCTGAGAGTGGACATCAGGTGGGCTTGCAGTGTGGAACACAAATGTGCACATCCAGGAAGTACTTGGAGGCTCCTTCTGAGACCTCAGAGGTCAAAGCAAGGAAAAGGATTCTAGGAAAATGAAGAGACCACAGCTGTGCATGGTGCATGCCTACTTAAGGAAGCTGAAGCAGAACGACTGAAAGTTCAAGGCCAGCCTGGGCAACTTACAGAGACGTTGTTTAGAAATAAAAATTTTGAAAAGAGTTTGTTTCATCCCCATTACTAAAACCAGGACCATCTACCAAGACTCACATGGAAGCAACCTAGGACCCTGGTTGCTGAGTCCAGGGCCCCCTGCTTTCTGAGAACTTATTTTTCAGTCAGTTATCAGAGCCCCTGAGGCAGCATGGCTCCTTCCTGAGAGGAAGTGATACCAATGACAAATGCAGGGGACATACCAGGAAGCCATAAAGTGCCATTTCAGGGGAGACGCAGTAATAACAACCATGAAAATAATAACATTGACCATAAAAAAAGATAAGCATGCATTGTCTAGCAAATTCATTTATGTGGAACAAGTCATTTTTGGAGCAGACCAGACACATGAGGCGTGACAGAATTATGATTTGTTTTTTGAGTGCTTTTAACCGAACGGGGGGTGAGGATAGAGGGTGTTCAGGTGGCTTCCAGCTGAGCAGAGAGGGAGGCTGCTTATGCCTCGCACGGCTGGCAGGTCCTGGTTGCAGCCCCCCTCACACACGCGCCAGCCCCCAGTCCCTCACCTTCTCGTTCCACCTCCTCCACAGGGATTTCCACTTGCACTGTATCTCCCCAGATGGGGTTCAAGGTCACAGAGGTGACTGCCGTGGAACTCTGCTTGTCATCTTCCTCAGCTCTGGTCTTCCTGGGGAGGGAAGGGCAGGGTGAGTGTGAGGAGAATCTTGCCTACTTCACCATCCATAAATCCAAGTGACACTCATGTCATCCTGGCCCAGGAGATACTGGCCTTTCCCTTTGGCTGTCCTGCCTGCCTGATGACTACACTATCTTGCTGGCCACAGCTGAGGTTTTGCGGGCCCAGGTCTAGGTTGTGGGTGAACACATACTGTGCCTTCCTGACACCCCCCCTCACTGGAGTGGGGTTCCCAGCAGATGCTTGTATGTGTGGACCCCTTCCAACCTGGCCCCTCCTCCAGGCTCAATTTAGGGGAAGAAGCTTCTGACAGCATGGATGAGTGAATCTGTGATACTCATGCAGCCTGCTGTCCTTGCCTCTTGATCTTCAGTTCCTTAAGTGTTTGTCTGGCCCAGATTCCCAGACTGGGACTCTTTCAGTGAAGCACACTGCTCTCCTGTCATACCCACTGGGTGCCAAGCCCCTGACTGGGCATTCATAGCTGGGCACAGGGGAAGAAGTGAGTGCTCGCAAGTGAAGTGGGAGCTTGGTCCTCTACACTCCTGTACAGCCTGCAGGGTCCTGGGATACATGCCTCGGAATCCAGAGCCACCAGGCGCTCAGTGCAAGCTGGTACAGCTCGTGTTGCAGTATATCCTGTCAGGCTGCAAGCAGCCTGGAGTCAGCCTGGCACGCTGGAAAAGGAGCTGTGGTGCATTCATGGGAACTGGGTGGAAAAAAGGGACAGCATCCTGCCAGCCCTTAGTCCAGTCCAAAAGCCCAAAAACCAGTGTCTTAAGGACCAGTCCGCTTAGAAACCCAGATGCAATCTGCCCAGGGCCTTAGCAACACCAACATGTGGCTCTTCTCTCTCAGCCCAGCAGAGCCCCTCCTCCCGGAAGTCCTCTGAGGTGCTCTGAACCTCATTGATGCCTCTGTCCCTTAGACTTCAGTGTTACTGCAGCCCGACTCCTGGGGCCTGGCTCCTAACCATTCATTGGAGAATCCCATTGCCAAGTCCAGGGGTTGAAGTAAATCCCCTGCTCTGCTTCTACTGACGACTGACAGAGAGGCTATGTGACATGATAATTCCATCAGCATCCTGCAGTCACAGTGAATGGGTCCCAAGTCCTAGCTTTGTCCCTACCAGCCATGTGACTCTGGGCAAGGTGCATAGCCTCCCTGGGCCTTGGTTCCTTTATTCAGAAAATGGGTGCAGCCATCTACACCCCAAATGTCCCTAAACACACTCCTGTATGGGCTCTTCATGGTACCCATCCTGCTGGGTTGTGGTGGGAACGAAATGAGCTGACACTTCTAGTGCTGGCACATCAGTTAGCACAGGAAATGTTAATAATTATTATTAACATGTAGGTATCAATGAATCCCTTGTTACTAGCTCATAGTCTGAAGAGCTTGACCTCAGTGGCCCTCCCCTGGCTGGCCCCTTTCATCCTGGCCTGGTTTCTTCCCAGGATGACCCCCAATTCTGAGTCTGTGACTGGCAGAGGTGGCAGAGGTGTGGTGTATGGGCTCTGGAGTTAGAGGCTGGGTTTTCACTCATGGCACCTGGCCTCCTCCTCTGTAGGAGGCTGGTTGTAAGCATTGTTGCAATGAAAGAAAACCTGTCAGTCCTGGGAAATGGGTGGCCCATCTGTGGGATTCATCTGGGCGGTACAAGACAACTGGGGCTTTCCCTAAAGGAAGGAAGGCAAGCACTGAGGAGCTAGGTCGAAGGGGTGCATCTCCCAGAAAGCCTGAGCTTCTTGGCCCAATGCCTTCAAGCCCTGCAGACCTGGGTGTGCTCCCAACACTTGCAGATGCCCATGCGGGCCAGCAGTGAGGGCTGTGAGTCTGGAGAGAGGACCACATGAGACCTGGCAGTGCACCAGGGCCCAGCCCATCCATCTCCCCCCACCCCAACCTTTCATCCTGGCTTTGTGACCTTGACTGAGGGTGCAATGCTTGGCCTCCCTGCACGGACCTGCATGGGGCAGCAGCAGCAGCAGCAGGCAGGTGAAAGTGCCAGGTGTGCAAGGAGGAAGGCAACCATCTACACCCCAAATGTCCCCAAACCCACTCCTGTATGGGCTCTTCTTGGTGGGATCTTGGTGGCTGCTCTGTGTGCCCAGAGAAGACAGGACCACGGCATGAAGCCACAGGACTTGGGCTGGACCCTGAGCAGCACTTGCTAGCCTATCCCTGCCCTCCTGATGTCTGTGCCCCCGGTTCCCTGGTTTCCTCCTCTTCACCACATGACTCTGTGTGTGTGTGTGTGTGTGTGTGTGTGTGTGTGTGTGTGTGTCTGGGCTGGTGGGCTGAGTGCTAACATATGGGAAGAGCTACGGACCCAAGCCAAGGGCTAATTCCCTCAGGACTACAAAGAGTTAAGTCTCCCCCTTCCCATTCAGACCTGCAGGGCTGGGTGAGGGAGAAGCAGCTGGGTGGGAGGGGTAGGCCCCAGGGAGGAGAAGCTTTTAGCAGATGGAGGAAGCTGTTAGGGCAATGGCTTTTCCTGGCATTGCTGACTCCTCTGGGCCTGGATGTGATTCTAGCCCATCCAGAGACCCTGCCTGATGACTACACTATCAAGAGATCAAGAGGGTCTCTGCTCACAGAATAAGCAGGGGACTTGGTCAGTTCCCTCTCTCCCCACTGCCAGCTAGGAATGAGGCTGAGTTCCACTCCCTGCTACACCTCCTCTCCAGGGCCTGTCCAAGACCCCATCCCTACAGGCTGTCTGTGAGGACAGAAATGTCCCCTCCCTGACCCCGAAGCTCTGCCCTGACTCTGTAGCCTGGCGCCAGGCAGGCAGGGGCAGGAGGTGCTGACAGTGGTGCCTGCTGTCTCGAGCTCAGACTTAATCCAGCTGCAGCAGGCTGGGACTGAGGATGGCGTCGGAGGGAGGGTGTGGGTATCCTGGGCCCCAGCTGCTGGCCATAGGAGAATGTAACCCCAAGGCTCAGTGTGTGTGTGTGTGTGTGTGTGTGTGTGTATTCGACAAGTGCCAAGCCCAAGCGTCTGGTCTCTGGGGCCCCACCCCAGCAGGGGAGAGAGAGACCAGACCCAGGTACAGCTGGAGTGGAAAGGAAGACAACTGAGTTTTGCTTCCTCAAAGTCACAGTAAGGGAAAGTGGGTTGTTGGGTTCCTGGGGCTGGTGCTGTGAGGAGGGAGAAGACGAGGAAAAGCACACGGCACTGATGGAGATGGAGGGAGCTCGTGAAACTTCAGGGGACACACACACTGCCCTTGGAGGGCTCCGGGCCATGCCAGACCCTGTGCAGCCATGCGGTCCTTTATTTACATCTGAGCCTGCTCCCCATTTGTCCCATAGGTCCCCTTGGCCTCTCCCATTCTCAGATCATCAAATGACAGTGAAGGTCTGACCTCCTCGCAGGCAGAGCTTTGGAAGCCCAGGACACAGGTGACATAGCTTGTCTTGGGTGCCAATCTCAGGGAAGCCTCTAAGAATAGATAGGGGAAGGTTGCAATCCAGGTCTTCTCTGGCTGCAGTGTCCTAGCTGGGGAGGCTCCCAAGAGGATGGGAAAGATGAGTAGGAATTTCCCAGAAGCCCCTGGGAAGGAGGCAGCCAAGCAGGTGCCGAGCAAGATGATGAAGGGCAGACTCCTAGGTGGATGGGCAATGATATCTTGTGCCTCTTTGATGTGGTCCACCATGGCCCCACTGCAGCTCAGCTGGGCAACTTGGAGGGAGGGAGGAGAACAGGTTCAGGCTGAGTCCTCTGAGCTAGCTATCCTGAGAAGGCGGGGCTGCTTCCGTCTTCCATATCCTCCATGGCCTCTGAGCCATGAGAACAGCCTCCCTATCTTCCAGAGTCCATGAGGAGCCAGGCTCTGAGGCCACAGGCCTGTCTCCTTGGGAAGCACCAAAAACCTAATGACCTCTTGCCAGAGCCCAGCCTTAAGCATCAGGGACAGGAGTTGGCGGGTGGCCTCTGGAGAGGCCACACCATCAAATGGTGTGGTTAGAGGCTGAATTGCCATGTCTGAACCTACCTGACTGGTCTGGAGAGGGAAGGATCCAGGGAGGAAGCCAGGCACACAGAGATGGGCAAGAAGGCTCCCTGCCCTCCCAGGACAGTGCCTGAGGCTGGGGGAGGCTGAGAGGTGGCTCCTGGAGGGGATGGGCTGGCTGATCCAGTTTCCCCTGGTTTGTGGTAGCCTGGAGAGTTCCCTCTCCAGCCCTCTCCAAGCTACCTGCAATGTCCTGGAGGCCAAGCAGGCAGGAGGGCAAAGTCTCCCATCTCTGTGCTTGGCCAAATCTCTGGGAATGCTGGATGAGATGTACACAGAGGATCTTCCAACAGGAGAGGGGCTGAGGCCTGAGGCAGGGAGGGTCTGGCCCGAAGCCTTCTCCTTACCCTCTTCCATTCTCCCAGATACAGCCCACCATCGAGGCCCCCAAGGAGAGTAACTGGTTCTGCTGGTTCTGAGTCTCTGGAGGCCATGCTCATGGCATGAGCTGAGCATTGCTCTTCATCAAAGTAGTGGGTTCTCTTCCTAGATTCTATTTATTAATTGGACTCTAATGAACCATCACTAATTGCTGAGGGTACTACAAGCCTGTGAGCAGGCCCCAGTTAATGCAGACTGAGACTTGGGCTCAGGATCCAGTGAGGAGGTCAGCATCGATGGTCAGTTCAGTCCTGACTGCAGTCAGGGCTGGAACTCCTGATTGGCTCTGGAAATGGGAAAGGTCACATTCCAGGGAGCTCTGAGATTCCAGAGAGCTCTGAGATTCCAAGGAATTCTCTGGCCAGGGATAAAGTCTCTGAAAAACAGGATTGCTTTCCTCCTACCCACACTGTATCTGGGTGCCCAGGCATTGCCAGAGGACCCCTTCATGGGCAGCACCCCTCACCCCACCCTCAGGACTCAGGGAGGCAGGGAAGCCTCCTTAGGTGACCCAGCAGAGAACCCTGTCAAGTGAGACTCAAGATCCCATATGTTGGAGATTTTTTGTCAAACCTATTTTCCTGGAAGGGGA